CGTGTTAGCCCTGGAGCTAGCGTCATACGTGTTAGCCCTGGAGCTAGTGTCATACGTGTTAGCCCTGGAGCTAACGTCATACGTGTTAGCCCTGGAGCTAGCGTGAAAGCAGAGTCATTTTCACTTTCTTTTCTCTGTCAAAGTGCTCTGGTTCAAATTAATTCTGAACATCAAATGTCTAAAATTAACATTCAAGTTGAATGGAGCTTGCAATGGAGCTGTCAACATCATTTACCCAAAATGCATTGCAACAAAAACAAAATGACAGTGTCCATGTATCATTAACTTCATTGTCATTCTTCTTTTCTTTTTTTTAATCCATCCAGAGGACCTGACTTAACTTTGTTAGATTTTTCTACCTGGATTATTGAGCATGAATCAGGATGGCCTACAGTATTTTTATGGTCCTGTTTTTATATGTGAAGTTATTGTTTATCAAATAAGATCTATTGTTCCAACTAGTCTGAGATCCTTTTAAACTCTGGCGCAGTCGGTGGCTGAAGACGTGCATTCCTTCATTCATTGCTATAGTTTTATTTAAGAGTGTGATTCTTGCTCCCGCAGAAAGAATGGAGAGAGGACCCGAATGGTGAATTTAAGCGAAAGGTTGCTCGCTGTGTAAGAAAAAGTCAAGAAATGGCATTCGATTAGGACTTGGCTATAAATTTCGGGGTGAGTAAACCGATTAGAGCTCAGTTTTTGCCTGGCCTCTGAATTGTCACATTTTCATTGTCCCTTTGTTTAGTTCTAGGAAACGCCTTCAGAGTGGAAACTTCAGCAAAAGGCTTTTGCACCCTTTGTTTTGCCAGTCAAAGGAATTGGTTGGCCTCAACTCCGTTTCTGTGAATGGTCTGCCAGATGAGCCAATTTGAGAATCCTACCAGCGAAATTAACCTGTTTCCTACCTGGAATTGTATATTTAATTTTATTTATTTTGGAAAAGAAATGATGTAAAATATGTCACTACTGTAAATTAACTTGCTTTTTTATCTGCTGCTGAACAGTTTCTACTTTATACCAGGTTTCTTATGCAATTTAGTGGTCAAGATTGTGTAAAACAAAACAAAAACCTGTTCTCATTAGGTTCTTTGTCCTCCCTGCTGCATACTAACAGATTATTGTCAACCCACCCAGTCTGTCGGTGGATAATTGTTACTTTTAATGCTGTCTTTTTATCACTGTTGCCTTTTGTTGGCTTCACCTCATCACAGCTAGCTTTGTTTAAAGAAACCGGTTGAAAACTTTTAGAGCAATTTTTCAGTTTTTTTTCTTTCTGACGTCCCCGTGTGTCTGAGATATTTGAAACCACAAGACCCAAATGTGCAAAATGCATTCGAACAGTTCTGTAGCAAATAGTTGTTGGCTGTGAATTGTTGTTGATCCTGTGCAGCAGTTCAAGAGTTCTTGTTTGATGATAAATACACTGACTTGTACAGGCAGCAGAAAGTTTGTGCCAATTTCTCAGGATCGAGTTTTGGAACGGTCATGGTTTGCAATCGATGAGGTAAAATCTCAGTCTCATCTTTCCCCCTAACTTGTGGTCTGACAGGGAAAAATAGGGATGTTCACTTTATAATAAAATGTAGCCCAGTTTTTAATTACTCCTCCGGTGGACTGGTGAGCAGACACTTGGATGAACCTCAGTTTAAACGGACTGGATGAGGTTCTTGGTCTGTTTGGAAACACTTTTCGGGCTCCATAGTTCAGTAGACTAGTCGTTCCTTCTTTCATGTGGCACATTTGATTCATGTGTGTGTAAAACCACAGTTTACTTGTGGGCTTAGATTCTTGAGGGTAGACGGTTAAATGCTGCTGCTTTTGTTTTGCCCCTCCATCTGAAGTTCTGATCATTTGGATAGTATTTATCACCTTTAGTTATTAGCTGGGATATTGAATGGGGACATCATCTCACCTCCTAAGGAAGCATAACTAGGTCAGGTGCGCAGAAAGACTTCAACTTCTGATCTAAATTTATATTTTAAAAAGTATGTGTCATGGGTGGACTTGAAGAGAAGGAGTGTTTATTGAGAGGTGCTGATTAGACGCTGTGATTTCACGTTACTTTTCGTGGCACTCACTAAAAGCAGCTGGCCGTCTCTTGGTGCACGCAGTCAGTTTGGACGGAGTACGGTCCACCTCGAGTAGTTCACCCCCGTTAGTCCACTCTGGGTGGATGTGATGTGTACAGTTAGTTGTGAAGGCTTCATGATCACGTACCTGCTCTTTAACGTTTTCCACAACAAAGATCCAACCCACCGTGACCTCTGACCGGGATTCACTGTATTTGCACAGATGCAGTGCGTTTGAAATGTCATGAAGCAATACGCTCTGAAAGTAGTGCGTCCAGGTAATCCACCACAACGCCAGTATTTTTCTTCTAGGTTGTTGGGTCTCTTATTTTATTATTCTGTTCCGTTTCGTGTCAATGCAATGTATATTGGACATTATGCTTAATAAAGTGTGTAAAAAGATTGGCTAGTACTTTCTAAATGCTGACTGTACGTTCTTTACTTTAATTCCATGTACTCTGTACTGTTTAAAGTATTCAAACTTTAAAACGTTTCTCATTAGGAGACTACAGATAATTTCTAACTTATCTTTTTAAATATTTACCTGTTTTGTTGAAACTGGGTTTTCTAGAAATGCTTCAAAACCTTTGCTCTTCAAAAGTAAACTACTTAATCATAATCTCACTTAAAATCTTCTTTTATTTAAATATATCTCAAGATATTGGACTGTCCTCACACAATGATTGCTGGATATGGGCACCGGTGACCCCTGTGACCCAAAATCAAAGCAGCGGGTAAAAGATAATGGAAGGATTGGACAGTCATCCGATAATGAATCTTGATACCTTGAAGCAATTTCTTTAAATCATACTTAAAGTTGGTATATTTTTAACAGCAGACATTTTGAGACTATAAAGTACACTGATTCACGTCAAAATCCATATTTCAGAATGTAAGTCCATTTGTTTCTTTTACAAGTGTGTACCAAAACCCTGTGAGCTGAAGCTGCTTCCACTGAAATTAAAACCAGTTTCCTCCCACAGACCAAAAACAGCTGGTCAAAGAAGATTGCTGTTGCTAAAAAATGTATCCAGAGCTACAAAACTAGCTTGAACATTAAAATAAAAGAGCACGGCTCACTAATTGTTAAATACCACATATAAGACGGTTTCCTTTTTAAATTAAAGCTCTAGAGTAAGTTTAACAAAGTTGAGTCGGGTCGTCTGGATGGATTCATTGTTGAAACGTTTCATCTTTCCAAAAGACTTCTTCACTCTTGGATAAAAGTCAAAACGTTTCAACGAAGAATTCGTCCAGAGGACCTGACTTACTGGTAACTGTTAGATTTATCTACCTGGATTAGTGAGCATGCGTTGGGACTTTAGCGCAGCTTACTGATGTCATAAAAGGTATCAAATCCAAGGAGCTTGTGATTCTTGGGGATATAAATATGAATTGGGCAGATAAAGCTTCCCAGTCCCTAAAAACCATGGCCACAAAGCTGGGGCTCCAACAACTAATTAAGGCGCCGACTAGATTTGGTAAAACATGCAACTCCATTTTAGATCTTATATTTATAAATCGTCCTTCCATATATGGTATATCTGGAGTCATAAATACGTCAGTTTCAGATCATTCACTAATTTTTGTCATTAGAAAAAATCTTAAGCAAGCAACATGTCATGTACATAATTTACATAAAAAGATTCCACACTCAAAACAAACTATGTTTAATGCGGAAATTAAAAATACTGATTGGAGTGAAGACATTCATTTGTCAAATCCTAATCATATTTTAACAAATTTCTACAATAAATTAGAGAATATACAGCAAAAATATATCTCAACTTGTAAAATTCCAATCCGACAAAATAAAATACCATGGTTGAACGCTTCTATAATACACTTCTTAAAGCTGAAAGCCTCCTCTCTGAAAAATTATAGACTATCAAAAACACCTGAAAATAAGTTGCATTTTAATCATTATCGAAATAAATGCACTGCTGAATTACGTAAAGCTAAACAACAGTATTTTGAAAGGCAAATTATTTCAGCTGGAACAAACCCAAAAACATTGTGGCAAACAATTAAATCTATAACAGGAGAAAATAACAACAAAACTTTCAACAAAAATTTACAGATTTCAGTAGAAGGTGTGCTTATTTCTGATCACGAAAAAATTGCTAACCAATTTAATGAATACTTTGTTTCTTCTGTTCGGGATTTGTTATCTGGGCCTTCTAATAGGCCAAAGTCATCTAAATCATGTGACACCTCTGAGATGTTTTCCTTTTCAGAAATTTCACAGACTGATATATTGGATATATTACAGTCTTTAAAAAGCTCACATGCCTGTGATATATTCAAGTTAAATATGAACTTCCTGAAAACGCATCTCAGCACTTTTGTACCATTATTCCATCACCTGCTTAACTTATGCATTACACAGTCCATTTTTCCCGTTGCCTGGAAGTCTGCACAGATTACTCCTATTTTCAAATCTGGCGATCCAACTGATGTTTCAAATTATCGACCAATTTCAGTTCTTCCAACTTTTTCCAAGTTACTTGAAAAAACACTATTTAACCAATTACTTCACCATTTAGAGGTTAATAATATGTTAAGTGATAACCAACATGGTTTTCGTGCTTCTCGATCAACCATGTCAACATTAATATTATTTACTGAACAAATACGTGCTGCTCTGAATAAAGGTCAAATAACTGGTTCTGTATACATCGATTTCCTTAAAGCCTTCGATACAGTCGATCATTATACTCTCTTACAAAAATTGACTTCTTTTCAACTTTCTTCTTCTGCAATACAAATGTTTTCTTCCTATTTAACTGACAGGTGTCAGGTAGTGAAACATGGAAGTTGTATATCCCGATCACTGCCATGCTCTGTGGGAGTCCCGCAGGGTAGTATACTGGGACCATTGCTTTTTTTACTTTACATAAATGACCTTCCAAAAGTACTTAATCACTCTAATATTTTAATGTACGCTGATGATACTGTTCTTTTCCTGTCTGGTTCAAATACTGATTCTATCAACAGTCAGTTACATGCAGATCTTCAGCAATTTCATTTATGGCTACAAGAAAATCGCTTAACGATTAATGTAAAAAAAACCGTATGCATGTATTTTTCCTCACCTAGGAAACATTTTACTACATCAAATCCTTTTACTTTTTTAAACAAACCTCTTTCTATTGTCACTACTTATAAATATCTGGGAGTTATTTTGGATTCTCATTTAACTTATCATGATCATGTGCAATCCTTATGTACTAAGCTGAAACAAAAAATGTATGTTTACTCCAAAATTAGATCAAATCTGACATCTTCTGTTTCCAACACTTATCTTCATGCCATAATACTTTCAACTCTGTCGTACTGTTTACCTGTCTGGTCTCTCACTACTAATGAAATATTAAAACCCATCGCTAGGCTCTACAACAGGGCCTACAAAATCCACAACAAACTCCCTGGTTGGACTCATCACTGTACAGCTCTTTCTTCTTCAAATGCTTTAACTTTTCAAAAATTTGTCCTACACAGCAGTATTAAGTTGTATTTCCAGGTTTTTTATGGTATTAATAATGTAGCTCTCTCTGCTTTGATCCCTAAATCCAAGTGTGGAAATGGTCGCTCAACTAGAGCTGCTACAAGCGGACAATTGCCACTACCAGCCTTTAAAAACTGTTATGGACAGAGATCGTTTTTCTATGTTTACACCAAAGCATGGAATGACACTCCACAGCATGTGAAATCCATCTCAACATTGGCACTTTTTAAGAAGACTCATGTGCGTCATCTGTTAGACTCCTTCTTTTGCAATCACTGTTAGGTGTCTGCCGTGTAAATGCTGCTGTTCTTGTGTTTTGTAATGTGATGTGTCTGTATGTCTATTGATGAGGTGTGATGCTGAATATCTGTGTGCTTAATTTATGTTCTGCAGAACAGGAACCTGCTGTAAAACAGCAATT